GCGTCGGTTGGTTTTCAGTCGGTTGGTTCTCAGTTCAGTTGGTTCGGCGTCGGTTGGTTTTCAGTCGGTTGGTTCTCAGTTCGGTTGGTTCGGCGTCGGCTGGTTCTCAATCGGTTGAGTCTCAGTCGGTTGGTTCACCATCGGTTGGTTTTCAGTCGGTTGGTTGTCATCGGTAGGTTCGGCGTCGGTTGGTTCGTTGTCGGTTGGTTCGCCATCGGTTGGTCCGTGGTCGGGTGGTTCCCCGTCGGGTGATTTGCCGTCGGTCGGTTCGCTATTGTTTGGTGCATTTTCAGTGGGTCTGCGATCTGTGGGTTCGCGGTCGGTTGGTTCGTAGTCGGGTGGTCCGTGGTTGGACCAAGTGTGGTCGGTTGAGCCAGGCGATTTGATGATGAGTTCGGACCAAGCGGAGGAGGAGATTGGCTGATGCGAAAATCGGTTGGTATGGAGGTCGGGCTATTTAAGTTTGGGAACTGGGGGGAGCGTTTGGTGGAGCAGTTAAAGACACGTGTCATTGAAGAAGGAGTTAGTAGGCGGTTGAGAGCAATTGTTGTAACCATCTGGGCGACGGTTCCAAGAAAGCGTCTCTTCAGGGAATACTTAAGGATTTGGGTGGAAACTGGCAAGGGATCTTCAATCATTTTGAAACAACAGCAAAGTTAGTGATTCAGGGATCATCCTTTAATTTTTAGTCTGTAGCATTTATTTTCCAATTTAGTTATGTATTGTACAGTGTTTAGAGATTCCTAATCTCAGGCACTAATTATATCAATTTTGGAGATAATTTACTATTTTCGGATTTTACTTTTTATTGTTGAAAAATTTGCATCAACAACAATATTCTTATGGGCGCAGCTAGGTTTATTTGCTTAATTAGGGGTAGTTAACGGTCGTACCTTAATTACCTACACTGTAAGGAAAAATTGGTTGTCAGAGCTTGTTGATAACTATAACCAATTTATTGATACTTTAAGAAGAATTAACTTTATTGAATTAATGATAAAACACAAGTGTCATGACTGCATCATCCCTTGAGCCAGACATCCCTTGATAGTCAGTTCCCCCTTAATTTAATTGTTTTTTTATTTTATTTTCATTAAATAATAAAAAAATTCCCCCTTTATTTACTACATTAAAACACGAAATAGTGAATCATACAATCCCTGTGGAGACGATCATTTCCCATGTATTACATTAAATTGTGATTACGGATTAGGTGAAATATTTAATTGACCGCGCGACAGGTCAATGGTGCTCGGTAGCGACCGGTTCGGCCATAGGAGCAACCGCTGGGGGCCCTAATATAAAGAGTATGAATTAATTTATGAAAGGAAAGAATATAATCTTGCAATCAGTTCAGACTCACTGGAAGCACATTTGGACGGGTGGAAGAGGTGGAGGTTGAAGAGGAGACCTGCCTCAACGTCGGGTCCTCCTCCCGACGAATCACGGGCGGTTCCGTTGGTGGATTGGTCTGCTGTGGAATGACCACAGCAGCTGGCGAAGAAAGAACAGTTTGTTCAAGGAGAAAGGCGAAGTTAGTAATAAGAATTTATAGAAGGTAAGGGATGTTGGAGATTACCTATTCGATAGGTGGTTCGGCGGTCGGGCGGTCGGCAGGTAGGTCGGTTGGTTGATCGGCAGGCTGGTCGGCTGGTTGCTCGGCAGCCGTGGGAAGCGATTCTAGAAAAAGTAAAGGCTAAATTAGGTTAGTCCTTACTGAGATATCGGCGCACATTGGCGGGCAACCATGCAGGGTCCATAGGTAAGGACACCAGGTAGTCCTCTACCGCCTGCCGATCGTACACTGGCTCTGTGGTGGCCTTGGGTCGGGCGACTCTCTTCTTTTTCTTCGGAGCACTAGGGCCTTCAGCAGGAGCCGCCCGCCTTTTCCTGGGGACGGTTGCAAGGGGGGAGAGCCCAAAGCAAAGGCTGGAGGGGAAATGAGTTTCCCCAACAGTTGGTCGGAAAGAGGGGCCACCACAGCCCAAGTGGCCAACCACCAGGATGAAAAGGCCTCAACCGAATGGGGTTTCGGCAGAAAGGGAGGTAGGAGTTGGACGTAAGGTAAGAAAAAATTTGGGAGAGATAAGGAAAAATTAAGGTAGGGATCACTCGCCTATCGGGACTTTGGGTTATTAAATGTGGTCGGGCGAGTGGGCCTGGAAGACCTTGACAACAGCCGAACTGTCGGGATAAAAATTGAGGCTGATAATTAAGAGTATAAAAAGATTTTGTGATTTTTCTTGTCAAATCTCTGACTGGAAAAAAAAAGAGTTCGGGGGTTTGAGAGCTGAATCCCAAGAATAGGGATAGGTCGGGTGAGGTAAAGGATCCAGGTATGGATGGGGGTAATCTGTATCCGGATAAAGCCAAAATAATTCGGTGGTGTACTGTACGTAAGTCTCATAAACAAAATATTTGGAGTTGCTACGGTCGTCCGAAAGAATGGCAGCAATTACAGGGTCGGAAAGGTGGAGTGTGGAAGAGTTCTGGGTCAGTTGGGCGAGGGCTAACCCTAGAGACCTCTGAGGGTTCGGGGATACGGGTAGCTGACCAAAAAAAAGCTTTTGGAAAATAGAGTCGCAGCCAAAGCTCAAAAAACCCAAAAGGACCAGAGGCTGCCATGTCCACCCTTTTGGTGCCCATAAAGCGGACACTGACTTTGGATAAACCCTCGTATAAGTTGGCCAAAAAGAGGGTTCCTAATGAAAAAAATCGGCCACTTGCTAGGTGAATGGCTAAATCTAATTGTGAGGTCAAAACTGATTTAGAGGGGGAGGAATTATGTATCTGTAAAGGATACCAAGATAATTAAAAATGCAAATATATATATATATAATTGACAAGGCGAAAGAAGCCACATACCTACACAACCAGAACAAAAGGAAAGTGGTGTGTTCCAGGGCGGTCGCAGGGGAACCGTCTGCACCTTGATGTCGGACAACAAAATTGGTCAAACCCCTGTATTTCTTAGTGGTACGAGCAAGCGACTAGCCTTCGTGGTCGTGCGACCGGCTCCTAACCATCCAACGAGCCCAACACCGGATCGTCACCCACGATGGGGAGATGGACAATCAGAGCCACATCCATTAAGGTTGGGCTAATTGGACCAGAAAGGAGAAGAAAAACGCCCAGTTAGGCATTCCAGAAGGACGTCATGGCCAGAAGGACTTTATCATGAAGATACAGGGGTTGGGTAGAAAGGTAGATAGCCTTGTCGATTCCCTATCATCTCATTGCTCGCCGAAGGTGAGAGATAATCTGGAATACCAAGAATGAAAGGCATCTTTCGGATCCGTAAGATGAGTTTTGATATGGTCATTAACACGTTCATGTTTGAAATCTGGGTTGTTGATGGCTAAGGGAGTGACTTGAGAAATGATGCTCCTCATGCGAGAAGCATCTTCGGAAGTAGTACAATAGGGGCGCAAAGTTGGGGTAAGAACAACGGAGGAAACAAAAGGGATTTCTGGGTCGGAACCATCGAAAGGCAGAGTAGGAATGTACTGGTTGGCCATGGTCGCAAAAGGTTGAAGCTCGGGTGAGAGAACAAGGAGTTTCGGCAAGAGGGGAAAATAGAATTGGAAAATGGAAAGCGTAAGGAAGAAGACGAAAGTTGAGGGGTTTTAAGTGGGATTTTTCACAAAACCCCGTGATTGGACAGCGCAATGATGAACAGACTCCCTAAAAACGTCACATCTTACATTAATTGAGAAGTGACGGGAGGGAGTCGGGCGGGGGGAGGCAAATTGTTATATATTAAAATATTTTAAGGTTTTTATTGGACCTATAACTGGATTCTAACATTTGGGCCCGCGGATAAACCCAAAAAGAAAGTAGGTTTTCAAATACCCATTAAGGGAAAAGGTTAGCCAGTCGGTAGCTTGGTTGGTCGGTTGGCCAGTCGGTTGGTTGGTCGGTTGGTTAGTCGGTAGCCTGCTTGGTCGGCTGTCCAGTCAGTAGCCTGTCCGGTCGGTTGGCCAATCAGCAGTTCGTTTAGCCAACTAGTTCATCCGCAGCTTATCTGGTTGGCTAGTTTGTCTATAGTCTGTCTGGTCAGTTGGTCGGTTGGTAGCATGGAATGCAACTGAAGAGCGGTTCTTCAGGCGGTTGAAACTGCGAGGTGATTTTTGTCAGTTACAACCGACTGCGCACACGATCCGATAACTGACTTGGAGGGCATATAACAGGCGATTCGCGTTCGGCAAAAAACATCTTCAATCAGCATCAATTTCAGTGAAATTCGCTTTCGGGGTCATCTTTTATTTTCTTTTCAGTATCTGTTGCTTTAATTTTTCCTGCATTTTGTACGGTATCTAGGGATTTTCAATTCCAGATATTATTGTAGTCAAATTCGAATTTATTTTCGAATTTTACTTTTTATTGTTGGTTGAAAACAACATCAACAATAATTTTATATTTAATAAGTATATATATATCTTTATAAATATTATACATTTTATTTTATTTTTTATTCGAATTTATTAATAAAAATTATAATTATTATTAACTAAATTTAATTTAAAAAAAAATGAAATAAATAAAATAAAATTTCTTTTAACGAGCCAAGTCGGGCCGAACACGAACAAATAAAATATTAAACGAGCCGAACTTAAACAAAAATTTCAGCTCATATATCTTAACGAACGAACACGAGCCGAGCTCGAGTTCTTAACGAACCGAGCTCAAACATGACAAGGTCGGCTCTATTCGACTCGTTAGTTGGAACGAAAGGAGTAGGGTATGTTTCTTTTGCAAAGTTTCCCCAAATTTTACTATCTAAACTCTGAATTTTACCAAAAAAATATATTTTTTTCTCTTACAAATATTAAAACAAAACCAAATTTTTTTTCAAATTCATCAAAAGAAACACCCTCTAAATCTTCTTTGTAACAAGAATAAAGTGGATTTGCTTCCAATATAGAATATGGATTATATTTGGGTTCGATTCCTAATGGGTAGCCCACTTAAAGACCCGGATTGCCATGTGTGGCCCGGTGCCGTTCCAAGCGGGCCTTGCTTTTGTGGCGATAACTACAAGGCGGCGACGACGGTGACGATATAAGTACCGAATTGCGCCGGTGGATTGCAGATTGCTTATTGGGAAACAACATCCATCCATGGCAGCCCCCACGGTGTCTCTAGCCTCCGACGACCTGCCGGTCGTCGCTGCCGAGCAGCGGCGCGAACTAACGACGGCCATGAACCTCAATTCCGACCTTGACGTTGCCTTCGACCTCCAACTTCAAGAAGCCATCAATGCCTCCCTCGCCCTCCACCCCCAAGCCTCCACATCCTCCGCTGCTCTCCCCCCACCGCTCCCGTCTTCTTCTTCTTCCGACGATAAGTTCCCAACATTTATGGACCAGTTCTCTGAGGAGCTTACGAAACTAGAGCAAGAACTCAAGGACGAGAAGGTTTCAGAGATGGAGTTCAAAAAGTTGAAGGATGATCTCAATCTTAGGATGCACGATCTCCGGTTCGCGCAGGAGATAAGCAGTATGCCGGAGGAGGAGTGGGAGGATTGGGGGGATGATTTCGAGCGTCCTTTTGGGGAGGGCAGTTCGAAAGGCGGGCAGAGTGAGATTTTTAGGGTTTATTTCAAGGGTTTGGTGGAGGCGGCGGCGCCTCCGAAGTTGAATTCCCTGGGAGGCATCGGTGTGGCGGTATGTGATTCGAGAGACGCATTGTTATTTGAGTTGCGGAAGCCATTGGTGGGGTGTGGGCAGAGCCGGCAAGCTGCTGAACTGCGGGCTCTTACCGAGGCTCTTACTTGTGCATTGGATCTTGAGTTGAAGAGGATTGCCTTTTATTGCGATTACTATCCAGTTTATAAATTTGTGAGTTTCGTGTCTCATTTGCCTCATCTCTATGCTTTTCTTGATTATCCTTATTAATCTTTCTTCTTGGGGTCTTCTTCAATTTTAAACTTCATTAGTGATTTCGTTTTTGCATTGAGCCTTTGAATAGGTGTAATGGAATTTTCATCCTACCGTGTCATTGTTGGTGTTTCACACTAGGATAGCCAAGATTGGCTAAAAATGGAGTTTACGTGCATAGATCGACTGATATTTCTGGTGTGTGGCTTTGTTACTAAGATGTTATGTAAATCATTATGTACAAATTGATCTTACTGCTAGTGCATTAACACATGGCCTTCTGGTATAACCTACAAAGCAGCTGTTTGTGAAAAACGCAGATATTATCCTTTTTATGTGTCATCTGTAAAGGCTAGGTATAGTTAGACATGAAACTGAGTGCTACTTGACTACTTTTTGTGTCCAAGCCATCCACATTGCATTCAAACTTGGGACAAAAGGAGTTTGAGTTGTTGGTGTTGTTTTTTGCGTGATTGTGGGTATAATATTGTGTTTCTGTCAAGGGAATGATTACCGTAGTTTTCTTGGATAATATCATTTGTGATCTTTGAACAAATCAAAATTTGACACTTGCATTATATATGAGAAACAGTGGACTATTAATCTTTGATAGAATGTTTGTTTGGTTGGAAATTCTGTTTTAGGTGTCAACATTTAATATGAGTTAAGAATCATTTGGAAAAATACACGGGCTAACTACAAAAACTTTTTGTTCCAATGTACTTGGAGATAAAATATTCCTTATCTGCTACGGCATTGAATGAAATAGTAGTTTGGTGTTGCTTTTGCATGATTGTGTGCATAATATTGTGTTTCTGTTAAGAGAATGATTACCGGTGTATTACTGGGTAGTATCATTTGGATCTTATGTGATTGTTGAACAAATTAGAATTAGAAACTTGCGTATGAGAAATAATGGAGAATTTACCTTGGGCAATTTGTTTGTTTGGTTGGAAAGACACTTTGAAGGTGTTAAAATTGAATATGTTTAAGAATCATTTGAAGAAATGCGGGGCTAACTTCAGATACTTTGCCTTCTAGTATACACATGTAGACAAAATATTTCTTATCTGCTACAGCGTTGAGTGAAATACAACAGGAAATCGGATTTTCTTTTAATAAAGAAAATAATATGTATATATATTTAATGTCCCCAAGAAAAGTATGTTCTTCAATTGAGTTGCTCTCTCAAAGAATAATGACATGCATGAAAGCTTGCAACGCAAGATTTGGTAGAATTTGATTGGCTCTTAAATGGAATCTAGTGTAATAGAATTATTGCCGGTTGGCTATGGTTGGCTTTATGATATCTTATTTTTCCTTCCATGGTCACTAGTCTGCTTTGTTTTCCTTATGTTTATAGCCCCTTATGGATTCTTATTTTTCCTTCCATAGTTAGTTGGTTACAAGTCTGCTTTGTTTTCTTTCTTATTTTTATAATCCTTATGATTTCTTATTTTTTCCTACCAGGGTAAGATGTCTGCTGTGTTTCCTTTCTCATGTCTATAGCCCCTTATGATTTCTTACTTTTCCTTCCTGGTCACTAGTCTGCTTTGTTTTCTTTTGTATGTTTGTAGCCCCTTACGATTTCTTATTTTTCCTTTCATGGTCCTAAGCATGCTTTGTTTTCTTTCTTATGTTTATAGCCTAGAATCCCAAAACTGCTCATTATCCATTTAATTATCAGATGGGATGCTAGCTTCTGGACAGGTTTCATTGAACAAATTTTCAGAATTAATGTTTGTTAAAATTGTATTTGGCTTGCAGGTTACTCGCCAGTGGGCTTCGAAACAGAAAAAAATTTCAGAATTAGTCAGGCAAGTTTGTCAACTTAAAGAAAAATTTTCTTACTGCCAGCCAGTGCTTGTGGCTAGAAATGACATAAAGTATGCATTCAAACTGGCAAGAGATGCAATAGTTTCTCAGGTCAGCAAGGCCACTGCAGAGTCCAGCAGCTCCAGAGATTCATTTGAGAAATGTGTAATTTGTTTGGAGGATACAAATGTTAGCCAAATCTTTGTTGTGGATAATTGTGACCATCGTTATTGCTATTCATGTATGAAGCAACATGTGGAAGTGAAGCTACTCCATGGACTGCTACCGAAGTGCCCACATGAAGAATGTCAAAATGAACTGAAAATCGATAGCTGCAACAAATTCTTAACACCCAAGTTGATAGAGATTATGTCTCAGCGTATTAAGGAAGCTTCAATTCCAGTTACTGAGAAAATATACTGCCCTTACCCTAAATGTTCTGCTCTTACGTCGAAGACTGAAGCTTTAGAGCACTCAAAGAAGGTCATAGTGGGAGCAGAAAGATCTGGAGCTAGAATATGCAAAAAATGCAATGGACGGTTCTGTGCAAATTGCAAAGCACCATGGCACAACAACATGACATGTGCCGATTTCAAAAAGGGTAACCATTATTCCCAGGTAGAAGAGGCAAAGTTGATAAAGTTAGCAGTGACCAATCTGTGGCGCCAATGTTCAAAGTGCAACCATATGATCGAACTTGTTGCTGGGTGCTACCACATGACTTGCAGGTACCATTTAAATTCAAGACAGTAATATATATGTATATATATATATATATGTGCACTTGCATTCACACATAAGTTCTTGATATTTATATTTTCTTGTCGTAATATTCGCACAGCTTTTGTTATTGACACCAGAATATCATTTTAGGAAAGAAAAAGTATACATATCTTTGAAGTCTTCCCTTTTGGTGATGAAGGACAATATAACATATAGAATTTATTTATCATTTTTAATTGATGTAGTTTGAGCTAAGTATAATTTGTACTTCAAACAGGAGGAAAGAAGGGAGAGCTAGTTTTGTGGTTGATGAAACTAAATGATATTTCTTTGTGGATATTGGCATTATGTCCTTTGCAACTTACCGAAAATCTTTGCCGGCATATTGTATGCACATTTGCTGCGTGATAATGGTCTAGTTGGTGCTTCTTATCATGCTTACTTTTTATACTGAATTAATGTTTGGGCATGACAGCACTCATACCGAATTGATTCTGTTCACACAAAATGTTACTTACCACACATGTCCTGCAGATGTGGCTATGAATTTTGCTATACATGTGGAGCTGAGTGGAAAGAAAAGGGTGCAACTTGTTCGTGTGATCTCTGGGATGAGAACTACATAATGGATGATGAGTTTGATGAAGATGATTATGAGGATGATTCGGACTTGGATTCGGATGATTATGACCATATGATTTGATATAAGCTGCAGCAGCAGCCGGTTAAGGAGACTATGATGGCAAAGTGTGGATATCAATCAGTAACTTTTACTTCTCTGGTATATTCTCTCCTTGTTTTCTCCTTTAGATAGAGAGAGAGATAGAGCAACTTCAAACTCGGGTGCTGTCTCTGTATTGTGTTTGCTCCTGACGCTTTTGGAATTCTAAATATTCTTTTATTGCTCTTCTCAACCAACCTAAACCAAACTTTCTGGCTCAACTATTTGGGTTTTTTCTTTTGGTATATATATATTTTTTATTTCTTTTCTGGTGAAATAATTATTGGATGTGGTGATTTGTTGAGCTTGTAAATATACTCAAAGCAGACAGAATTTGAATAATTTTTATTTGAGTTCATACTACATATGAGAGTATTGTTAATTTACAACTCAATGGGTGGATGGATGTTATTAGTTCCATTATGTTGGAATTGAAGCCTCCTAATCTGTCTTAGGTAGGGTGGGGTTAAGAGTTGGTTGCTATGGAGCTATCAATTCTGAGTTCAGTGCCACTTGTACATGTTACTCTCTTAGTTTTACTTACCATGTTCATTTTTTGGTATTTTTGTCTCATTTATTTTGTAACTTCTTTTTTTTGAAAAAAATTATACTCGCTCCGTCCGCCGGTAAAAGTCACATTTACCTGTTGTGTCATTGTACATTAAAATACTGTTATATTCGTATAATTTTTTGTACAAATGTCCTTCTACTAGTATTATAAGACACTAATGAAAGTATTTTTGCATTTTTTTTTAATTTGTACTACGTTTTGATATAATAATTAATATTTAAATATCAATATGAAAAAAAGAAAATGAGACCTTTAAAGTCGAAACTAATTACTAATTATACTTCTATTAAATTTTTGTGTCTACAGTAAAACGGACATGGTATTTGGAACGGAGGGAGTACTTCTTTATATGTATGGCAAAAAATAGCAAATTATCCAAAACATAGATTTAAACTTAGATTTGTGTAGCAGTTGTATCCTCCAAACAAATTACACATTTCTCAAGTAGCCTTAGCCTTGTTAACATGAGAAACTATTGCATCTCTAGCTAGCTACTTTGAATAATGCATATTTTATGTCACTCCTAGCCACAAGCACCGTCTGCCACTCTTGTTTGGCTATGCTGAAATATATTTCAATCACTAGCTAGTAGCTAAGTAACTTGCAAGTCAAATATAGTTTTAGCCAACATTAATTTTAACCGATTTTCAATGGAGGTATTTTTTATTTTTTTATTTATTTCCTGTAGTGTGAAAAATTGTCTTGATAACATAAAAATTAATATTTGTGTCGAATTATTAACTTTTATGAATGGATAAAATATATTATATATATTTGTATTTTCTTAATAATTGTTAAATATTTTACAAAAATTAAAAAATTATATTATTATTGATAATCAAAATAAAGACATAGGCACCATGAAAGATTCAATATATTCAAATCAAAATAAAACAACTTAACATAGGGATAAGATCACATAAGAATATTACCTCTGTCTGGCTATAAGGGTCCCATTTACTTTTTGTCGTATTTTGCGTATTGATATTTGAATATTAATTATTATATCAAAACGTAGTACAATTTAAGAAAAAATTGCAAAAATACTTTCCTTATGTTTTATATAATACTAATAGAAGGACATTTGTATAAAAAATTATACAAATATAAGTATATTTTTAAAGTTAAATACAATGATGCAAAAGGTAAATATGACCGTTAGAAGTGGACCGAAGGAGTATAAAATTACCAAATCTACAATGACTCAATCAAAACTAATCTAACCAAAATATTAAATCAAATATAAATCTAAAATATAACACTCAAATAGTGTCGTAAAAATTATCTTGAATTTGCTTCAATGGGATCTGAATTGGAAGCATATTGAGAATGACAAACATATACACAGAAGGATATGCATACAAACAAAGAGACGAATGTGCAGACATAACTCCAACCAGGAGTCAGAGTTAAACGTGGAAAGGACTCTGAATGAAATTTTAAACATAGACATATTACATATTGTAGATAGATCACATACACCAGATCACTGACACTGAACATATATCAAATAGAAGACAGATCACCGAAAGCAGACAAATACATAGATTGAATCAAATAGAAGACAGATCACCGAAAACAGACAAATACATAGATTGAATGTATCCCAACGGGGTTAGTAGATTATATTTATTCCAACAGAAAAATATGTTCTGATACCTTGTTAAAATACAGAAACTCAAACTATTTTATATGATCGTCAAAATAAAAGTGTATATATAGACACTATAAAATAAACTCTATGTACTCAAATCAAGACAAAAAAACGAAGGATAAGATCAAATAATAATCTAAAACTATCAAATCTATAATAAACTAATCAAAACTAATATAACCAAAATATTAAACTAAATATAAATCTAAAATATCTCAACATTAAAAAAAGAATATTTTTCAAATATTTTATTTTATATATTATTTTAAATCATTGTTATATCTACAATTAATACTACCTTTGTCCAGCTCTAAGGGTTCCATTTACTTCTTACATGTTGATATTTGAACATTAATTATTATATGAAAACATAGTACTACAAATCAAGAAAAAATGACAAAAATACTTATATTAGTATCTTATAATACTATCACAAGGAATTTGTACAAAAACTTAGAATATTTTTAATGTTAAATACAATGAGACAAAAGGTAAGGGAGAGCCACGGAGGGAGTATTATCTTTATAAAAAAAATTTAAAAAATAAAAATTAAATTTAAAAACTAATATACTATAATTAAAAAAAAGAAAAAGAAAGAGGGTCAAAGTATCTACATTGCCCGGATTTAGTTTTTTCATTTATTTATTTCATAATGCTTATTCTTCAATTTTGAACCAACTATTCTTTGTTTTTCAAAAAAATCCTTTATTTCAGCTTACGAAAATGAAAAATGGGAATTCCCTGAGAGTGAAGAACATATTTTAATTTATACAGGTTATTGACCCGTAGTTCTAAGAGTATGTAAAGTACATATGCTTGTGACATGTAGGATAAGTCATAAAGAATAGGTGAATTTTTGGGAAAATTTCAAAAAATACCTTCTATGTAGGTTCAATTATCATTTTCGAATATTTTTTTTCCACTTTCGCAATTTAGGACATTATAGCATTATTTTTGCCCTCCAACGCTGGAAAAAAGCACGTGACTGTCACGTGCGCCTTCATGGCATAGCCGGCGCATATGTGGACGCCGCCGTTGTTGTGTTGCCGTCCGCGTGGTCGTCGGACAGGTGACGTGGAATTATCTTCTTTTTTACTTTTGCAAATTAGGACATATGCGTACTCTAAGTATTATTTTTGCCCTCTGGTTCCGAAAAAATAATTTGTTCTAGGGTCGTTGGATAGGTGATGTGGAATTTTTTTTAAAAAAATTATATCTTTTTAAAATTTTAATTTGGCCCGATTGCACCAAATTGCAAATAACCAATTGGACTAAATTGAAAAAAAAAAAAAACTTAGAACAAACTGTTTTTTCGGCACCGAAGGGTAAAAATAATACCCGACGTATACATAATGTCCTAAATTGAGAAAGTGAAAGAACAATAATTCAACGTCACATGTCCGACAACCACGCGGACGGAAACACAGCAACGGCGGCGTCCACGTATGCACGGGCCATGCCATGAAGGCGCACGTGACGGTTATGTGCATTTTTCTGGCACCGGAGGGCAAAAATAATGCCCGGAGTACACATAATGTTCTAAATTGCGAAAGTGAAAAAAAAAATTCGAAAATAATAATTGAACCTGCATATAGGATATTTTTTGCAATTTTCCCGTGAATTATTTTTTTACTAATATTAACAAGTGAGTCTTGTTTGCATTGAGGCAACGCCAAATTTTGACGTCAAATTTCGAGAGTTAGGCTTTCCATCATCTTGGATTAAAGCACAATTAAACTTTCCATCGTCTTGTATTAAAACACAATTAAACTCCAAGTCCAACTATTTAAATGCCCACAATAAAGATATTACTACTATTGCTACTAATATAAGAGAACCACTTACAAAAAAAAATCTTTCAAAAGTTCTTTATAGGATTTTAAGATTTAACAAAGTCCAAATAAAAATGTAATAAAACTAACTTAAATAGATTACAATAACCACTCATCCGAAGGAAAATGAATATAGAAACTTGTCGGTAATACAGACCTAAAAATATATACATATAAACTCATGAAATATCATATTAGTGTATATTATAGCATACGCGTATATTGTTGCCTGATTGTTGTCCAATTATTTTCCATTAATTGTATTTATTTTCTTCCTTAAATAGGTTAGGAATAGAGCAATAATGTAGAAGTTAATTAATATAGCTTTTGGGATTGGATAAACACGAAGGCAACTTTGTTTCTGAAAAGGAGAGAAAATCATCAAAATCATTTTGTTGCTATTTGTTTTGCTCTTATTTTCACATGGTATCAGAGCAATTATTTTGTTGGTTTCATCCTTTTCTTCGAAGTTGATGATTAGAACAAGGTTGCCAAGATGACATCTTCGTCTATTTCTCCATATGCTCTCACGAGCAATGGTAATCCAGGTAATCTAATAACTCATACTCAATTGAAAGGGCCTAATTTTGAAGAATGGGCAAAGGCGATCAAAGTCTCATTACGTGCAAAGAAGAAGATGGGTTTTATTATTGGAACAATCAAACAACCTACTGATGATTCAGAAGAGATAGAGGACTGGTGGGCAGTCAATTCCATGATAATTTCTTGGATCTTCAACACGATCGAACCAAGTTTAAGGTCTACGATATCTTATAGAGAAACTGCAAAGGAATTATGGGATGATATACAACAAAGGTTTTCGGTGAGAAATGGTGCAAGAATCCATCAATTGAAGACTGAAGTCGCAAACTGCAAACAAGAAAGTGACTCTATCATGTCCTTTTATGGAAGGATTAAAAAATTGTGGGATGATCTTAACGACTATGATCAAATGCCTTTGTGCACTTGTAATGAGTGCAATTGTGATATCAATGCTAAATTGACAAAGCGTAGCAAAGAAGAAAAGTTCATCAATTTCTGATGGGATTGGATGACACGCACTACAACACAATAAAATTAAACATTATTGTGTTTGATCCCTTGCCGAATATGAATAAGATAATATTCGTAAATCACTGAGCAGAAGCAAGTTAGAGTCATGACACAAGGCGGCGGTGAGTGGCGTGAAGCTATGAGCCTTGCAACAAAAATCCAAACTTTAGGAGGAAGAAATCAAGGGGGGGATCGACGAGAAGGTTTGATTTGTTCACATTGCAAACGCACAAGCCATACAATAGATACTTGT